CATGCTTCACAGGGGAGGGAAAATTCTAGTTAGGAAAAAAAAATGTAGGTCAACTGTACACAATCACGAACGAAAATATCTTCACGATTTCTCAGGGATACTAATTTACAGGAATAACAAACAATGTCCAATTTAAAATTCGTATGAGGTATGTTTTGCTCCTTATTGTTCAAATTTCATTGTAAAATCTCTTGTATTTAAAAATCAACTCCTCTTTTGTGATTTACTAGTAAGATAAACCCCTTTATGTGTTTTTTCTTATTTATATTGTTCGCTTGAAATTAGTGAATTATTTTCTCTGCCCATTTACTCCTCTTTTTTTTTTTAAATACTAAATGATATTATTTAAAAAAAAAAAATTAATAAAATCTTTTTTTACTAAAAATTTTAAATTATTTAACTTTTTTGACTTTTAAATAACCATTACTTGACTAATACCTTTACCTGTTTTAATACCACATTACTTCCTAGATTACTCTTAATTACCTTGTATGCCAATAACCTCAAGTAAAACTCCCAGTGCAATTTTGAATGAAATAAACATTACTTTTTTCACTTTTTGATCATTTTTACTTACTAAAATTTTATTAAAACCATATTTACTACCGTAAATTTTTTATTTTTTTACTTTAAAACATTATTTTTATTCCCAAAACATTTTGTTGCCAAATTTTAAGTTTTTATTTTCCCCCCAAACCCTTTGTATTATCCTTTGTCCTGGTACCTGGGTACCGTCTCCATTTACTATCATATTAAAACCAAGACATTCCCATTGTGATTTTTTACTATTTTTTTTGATTTTAATTGTGAATTTTTATTTTGTAAATTTTAAAAATTTTTAAAACCCTTTGTCTTGTCAAAAACCCCATCCCAGTTAGTGCAATTGAAAGTACCATTTCAAATTGTATTTTTATATTATAAGTTTATATTATAATTTCCCTACCATCTTCCTTTTAAATTTGCTTCCATTACTTAATTTTATCCCCTTTTATTTTTCCCCTTTTTTTTAGCTTTATAAAACTATCCTAGTTTATATATCCACAACTGTTAAAAAAATCAAGGTGCTATTCCAGGGCAAAAGTAGAAAAGCTCCAATCTTCCCATTATATTCCAAAGCTCTTTTTTTCACCCCTATTTTAGTCCCTTTTTATTATAATTTTAACTATAATTATAATTTTAAAAAATTCCTTTTATAGTATACCTCTATCTATTCCCAAGCAATTTATATGTCTCACTTTTTTTGTTAGTCCCTTAGTCTTTTTTTCCCATTTGTTAATAATTCAGGTGCTTTTTTTTTAGTTTAAAACTATTTCTTTTTTTTATATTTAAATTTTAAATTAGTTTTCCATAAAAATTTTTAGTTACAAGCATTGACCCTGATACAACCCCTTTATTTAATGACTTAAAGAATCAAACAGTTATGAAATTACTCCCTGCAGAACAATCAAAGGCACTTCTCATTTCCAACAAAAACATAACATCTTTAACTACAATATCAATCTTTAAGAAAGCTTTTACGAGACCTCATAGATTAAAAATTTTCCTTAACCCAATTGCCCATCTTACACAACTGAAACCGGTAAACCCGATAGTACGATGTCTATGCCACCCCTGGTTCACAGCCATCAAAATGTGGGCCAGCCCCAAAAGGGGGGGGGCCCAACCCAAAATTATACTAGCCAACTAAAATGATCACTAAAACTTGCAAAAGGGGTGAACTGGGGAATATATAATAGAAAATTCAAATCCAAATCCCCTAAAAAAACCTTACTTGATAACATTACAGAGTTCCACAGTCAAACATTAGCCTTTTTTCAAATCAGGAAGTATGTAACTGATGCACGCAGAAAAAAGATCCTTCTATTCAGTGCTTCAATATAAATCCCCTGCAAGACAGGACCCACACTTTACAAATTTCCCAAAAACAAGGTAACTGTATGTTATCCCAACGTAACAAAACACAAGAGTTACGAGACTTGTTTCCCTATTTGCCAATCTGGCCCAACACCATATCCCCTTTAAAATCAGGAAATTACAGATAATACCACAGACCCCCTACCCTACTTTCCTCATAAAACTCTTGGGAATACCCAAGAAATACTAAAATCACCCCCAGACTTCACAATGAGGCAGCCCTTAATAACTTCGCAACGCATTAAAACATTTATTGGACATGAGCTGAAATCTATAAGAATTGCGAAGATTTTAAATTTTCTAAAAAAGACCCAATACCCTTAACAAACACTGCCCCAAAAAAACTAAACGATGACAGAAAGAGAGAACGTCCTGGGGAAAAACCCTTCTCAATCCCTAAATACAAACCCATATGAAAAAAGTACGAATGGGGCCATAACCGAGACCAAACAAAACTTTCTCGTCAATCCTAACCCGCCTGATAAAAGGGCAAAAAATTGTTTATAACAATTATCCAATTACGAGGTGAAAAAAAAAGACTGGAAAAAACCTTTGAATTCTGGGAACAAAAAGATATCACGAAATAGCGAAATAAAAATTTGCAAAATCAGATAAACCCCCAAATCCCCCCAACAGAAACAGCAAACAGACTCAAAGATTTCTTCTCCCCTATAGGGCAAAAACCCTTTCCCATAAAATCCCCAAACTCAGATCCCCACCAAAAAACTACCTACCCCCAACTACCCCAACACATGTTCCTAGCTCCGACTAACAACGAAGTCCCCTTATTATCAATGCACTAAAAAAAAGGCAGGAGATTTAAGTACCTTACCCCCCTTTATATATAAAAAAGTGGCACAAGTGCTATCTCCCAAACATTGCAACACTCTTTAAAAATCCATTAATCCTCCACCTTCCTACAGACTCAAAAAAGCAAGGGTCACCCCCATCACAAAGGGGGAGACCAAAAAGGTTTAAAAAACTTAGGGCCAAAATCCAATTACACCTCTCTCAAAATCTTTGAAAAACTAATTATAAACGAATCTCTCCCACCCCTTTTCTCCCCAAAAAAATACTCAACCCCCGCAATTTGGATTAGGCCCAATAAAAAAACTAATGATTTTATACACAGTAGAACATATATAACTGCAATAAGAAAAAAGAAAATCCCACTGGGGGTCTCATTACTTTCGTAAAACTTTGTCAGTTCCATGACTTGCCAGTAAAATTGTTTACATATGGTAAAGGGGCACTCCCCAATTACCTCAAGTCATACCCCCAGCACAGAAGCCAATATGTGTACGCAAAAGGGGCAAACTCTTTGGCCCAACCCAAATTTCGTTGGTGTCCCACGGGAAGGGTTTCCCTTGGGGCCCTTTCTTCTTTTTCCATCATAAAGACCTTCCAAATGCTTCGAAATACTCAAACCCCACTTTTGCAGATGACAAACATAGCTTCTCTCACCCGAGCCCCGTCACACTAGCCCAAAACTGTAATACCGAATTTTCAGAAAATATTCTGGATGAGGCTAAAAAAACTTTCACTAAAAATTTACAAAAACCTACTTCATTCAGTTTGGTAACAAATACAGATGTCCCCCTTAACATTAAAGATAAACGGATCACCTATACAAAGCTAACAGAGGGGGAAAATTCTTGGAACCCCCTTTAAAATGACTCAATTTCATACACATAAACAAATTTCTAAAAATTTCAAGATGTAGGGGATACTAAAGAAGATCGGTACTATTTCCCATCAGCCCTCCTGGCCCCATATCATCTTTATTTACCCCATCTACCCTTTTAATTTGTGCATGGGGCTCAACAACATTAACCATCTCGCCCTAATTACCAACAAAAGGCTCAGTTAGAATGTAACAAATTCTCACTACAGGGACACATCCCCAAAAATCATACACTAAACCTACTACCTACAAAAATCCCAAATTATTTCTGCACCTTTACATAAAAAAACCTTAACTCTTATTAACCCTCCCCTCAAATCTCCTTGCAATTAACAGAACACTGACCATAACACAAGGCAAGATCACCTTTGTGTTCCTCGTGTTCATCTCACCTAGCAAAAACAATGACATAAAAGGCCCTAAAAACCGGAATTCATTACCTGTAAATATAAAAGAAACACTACCTGTTTTTAAAAACAAGTCTTACTCAAAGTTTATTATCACCCAAAAACCCAAAAAAATATGAATAACTGAACCTTTAAATTGTTTTTCTTAATGTTTTACAATTATATCAATAAAGTTAAACCTAAAACCCAATTAATTTATTTTTTTTTAAAAACCTACCTTTAAAAAAAAACCTTCTTGCCCGTTTTGTAATACTCACTTGTGCTTTATATAAACTGTTTCATTTGTTTTATCATGCTTCATCATTGCTTATTAATCTTAAATTATTTTAAGCCCGCCCGTAATGCAGCATTATAAGGGGTTTGGCTACTGCCTTTTCTGTTTTTTTTGTACCCCTGATGTGTCACAAATTTATAATAAATAAATAAATAAATAAATATTTTGACATACTGCATGGCGCAGTGCTTCCATAATGATGATTTTATATTGTCTGTCGATGATCTGACTCTGTATACTTTTGTTTTGTTAATGTATTATATGGTTTTAAATAAAATATAAAAAAATATACAGTAAGTCATTGTATTTTTTTTGCGACTGGGAAGTATCAGGACTGATCAAACATAAAACATTTCTTTCAATTATATTTCTTTACCGAAAAAATTTACGGTATATTTTACAATAAATTTCCACATTGTTAAGCCTATTTAATTAAGTATTCAAACAGAGAGTGTTGATCAGGATGACAGAACTTCCTTGGACCACTGATGAGTTCTTCCCCGGCAGCTTCCTCAGCTGATGTGGATGACAGAACTTCCTTGGACCACTGATGAGTTCTTCCCCGGCAGCTTCCTCAGCTGATGTGGATGACAGAACTTCCTTGGACCACTGATGAGTTCTTCCCCGGCAGCTTCCTCAGCTGATGTGGATGACAGAACTTCCTTGGACCACTGATGAGTTCTTCCCCGGCAGCTTCCTCAGCTGATGTGGATGACAGAACTTCCTTGGACCACTGATGAGTTCTTCCCCGGCAGCTTCCTCAGCTGATGTGGATGACAGAACTTCCTTGGACCACTGATGAGTTCTTCCCCGGCAGCTTCCTCAGCTTCCTCAGTATTTGGAGAAAACATAACAATAATAGCCATCAAATATAAGAAAAATACAATACGAATAAAACACAAAAAATTATGTAAAAATGTATATACAAATTACAACTCAGAGGAGTTGTCTCAATACACCCACTTATATAATAACTGTCTCAACCCGTTTTTTCCATTTCTTTTTCTTTTCATTGAATGTTTCTGGAGAGAAGAGCAGCTCTGTATGATCCTGGTCGAGGTAGTGCTTCTCTTTTGTTAACTTCAGCGAGTGCCTGTTCAACTAGGTCGCTCCAGAACACCTTAGGGGCCGGTGAAGCAGAGCTCAATGTCTGCCTTTTTGTCTTTTTCTTCTTATTTTTGTAGTAATCATTATATTTGTCTTCTGGGTCACCATTGATCACTGGGTCACCATTGATCACTGGGTCGTCAGCGATCACTGGGTCACCAGCGGTCACTGGGTCACTAGCGACTACTGGGTCACCGGCGACTACTGGGTCACCAGCGATCACTGGGTCACCAGCGATCACTGGGTCACCAGCGATCACTGCGTCACCAGCGACTACTGGGTCACCGGCGACCACTGCGTCACCAGCGACTACTGGGTCACTGGCGACTACTGGGTCACCGGCGACTACTGGGTCTCCAGCGATCACTGGGTCACCAGCGATCACTGGGTCATCAGCGATCACTGGGTCACCAGCGATCACTGGGTCACCAGCGATCACTGTGTCACCAGCGTTCACTGCGTCACCAGCGACCACTGGATCACCAGCGACCACTGGGTCACCGGCGACTACTGGTCACTGGCGACACTGGGTCACCGGCGACAATTGGGTCACCAGTGACTACTGGGTCACCAGCGATCACTGCGTCACCAGCGACCACTGGATCACCAGCGACCACTGGGTCACCGGCGACTACGGGGTCACTGGCGACCACTGGGTCACTAGCGACCACTGGGTCACCGGCGACCACTGGGTCACCGGCAACTACTGGGGCACCAGTAATCACGAAGTCATTATCGATCACTTTGTCACCAACGACGTCTGGGTCATCAGTTAGGGGAGAAGCTTCCGCCGAGATTATGTTGCATTCCCGAAGTCTTGCCTTTAGTTCCAGTATGATTATCACACAGAATACAAGTATTGCAACAGTTAAGTAACATCCACCTGAGGTATTACTTCCCTCAATCAGACGCCTTTAATGCTCTATTAACCTGAGTTGGTGATAACGATGCATTAGGGTTAGGAGGGAACCCAACACTGGCACATGCTGCCAGAATGTGACTGGATCCAATTCTAAGGGAAGAAGCTGTGGTGGAGCTGAGATGTCGTAGGAGAGCGGGCTGAGCTGCACGCAGATTTCCACATAATAGTATGAAGACCATTGGTCAACGAGTTTACTGTACTCAACCAGGAGGTTCTTTTCTAAGTTGTCATTGAACTTACACAGCCAATATTGAAGACCGCAAAGCAACACCATCATAACACCGAGTAAAATATATCTTAAAGTCATTTTGCACTAATATTTTGAACCTTTCTTGATTGTTAATGCGTTATGACTTTAATAAATTAACTTGGTTGTGCCTTGACCTAAACTAAATATGCAAGATTCTCTTTAATAGTCAACTTCGAATATTTATTGAATTACACTGAAGAGGATTAATAAAAAAAACTTGTGTTATGTACTATTCTCCACAACTGCAAAGTTTATATGATGATTATATAATGTAATGATGTTTTCACTATATTTCAAAGAACGAAACCGAAAAAACCCGGTTTAGATTTACATAAAGTACGTGAAGTATTTCTTAATGAATAAGTCACTAAAACAGTCATGATAAGCTCGTCATCCGACATATTCTTTACTTAAGGAATTTAAGTGAAAATGTTTAGTAAAGATTTCTGAAGTAGTGAAGATGAGTAGGGTTGTGTCGTGAAGATGAGTAGGGTAGTGTAGTGAGGATGAGTAAGGTTGTGTAGTGAGGATGAGTAAGGTTGTGTAGTGAAGATGAGTAGGGTTGTGTAGTGAGATGAGTAGGGTTGTGTAGTGAGGATGAGTAAGGTTGTGTAGTGAAGATGAGTAGGGTTGTGTAGTGAAGATGAGTAAGGTTGTGTAGTGAAGATGAGTAGGGTTGTGTAGTGAAGATGAGTAGGGTTGTGTAGTGAAGATGAGTAGGGTTGTGTAGTGAGGATGAGTAAGGTTGTGTAGTGAAGATGAGTAAGGTTGTGTAGTGAAGATGAGTAGGGGTGTGTAGTGAAGATGAGTAGGGTTGTGTAGTGAAGATGAGTGGGTTGTGTAGTGAAGATGAGTAGGGTTGTGTAGTGAAGATGAGTAGGGTAGTGTAGTGAAGATGAGTAAGGTTGTGTAGTGAAGATGAGTAGGGTTGTGTAGTGAAGATGAGTAGGGTTGTGTAGTGAAGATAAGTAGGGTTGTGTAGTAAAGATGAGTAGGGTAGTGTAGTGAAGATGAGTAAGGTTGTGTAGTGAAGATGAGTAAGGTTGTGTAGTGAAGATGAGTAAGGTTGTGTAGTGAAGATGAGTAAGGTTGTGTAGTGAAGATGAGTAAGGTTGTGTAGTGAAGATGAGTAGGGGTGTGTAGTGAGATGAGTAGGGTTGTGTAGTGAAGATGAGTAGGGTTGTGTAGTGAAGATGAGTAGGGTTGTGTAGTGAAGATGAGTAGGGTTGTGTAGTGAAGATGAGTAGGGTTGTGTAGTGAAGATGAGTAGGGTTGTGTAGTGAAGATGAGTAAGGTTGTGTAGTGAAGATGAGTAGGGTTGTGTAGTGAAGATGAGTAGGGTTGTGTAGTGAAGATGAGTAGGGTTGTGTAGTGAAGATGAGTAAGGTTGTGTAGTGAAGATGAGTAGGGTTGTGTAGTGAAGATGGGTAGGGTTGTGTAGTGAAGATGAGTAAGGTTGTGTAGGGAAGATGAGTAGGGTTGTGTAGTGAAGATGAGTAGGGTTGTGTAGTGAAGATGAGTAGGATTGTGTAGTGAAGATGAGTAAGGTTGTGTAGTGAAGATGAGTAGGGTTGTGTAGTGAAGATGAGTAATGTTGTGTAGTGAAGATGAGTAAGGTTGTGTAGTGAAGATGAGTAGGGCTGTGTAAGTGAAGATGAGTAGGGTTGTGTAGTGAAGATGAGTAGGGTTGTGTAGTGAAGATGAGTAATGTTGTGTAGTGAAGATGAGTAAGGCTGTGTAGTGAAGATGAGTAAGGTTGTGTAGTGAAGATGAGTAGGGGTGTGTAGTGAGATGAGTAGGGTTGTGTAGTGAAGATGAGTAGGGTTGTGTAGTGAAGATGAGTAGGGTTGTGTAGTGAAGATGAGTAGGGTTGTGTAGTGAAGATGAGTAGGGGTGTGTAGTGAGATGAGTAGGGTTGTGTAGTGAAGATGAGTAGGGTTGTGTAGTGAAGATGAGTAGGGTTGTGTAGTGAGGATGAGTAAGGTTGTGTAATGAAGATGAGTAAGGTTGTGTAGTGAAGATGAGTAGGGGTGTGTAGTGAGATGAGTAGGTTGTGTAGTGAAGATGAGTAGGGTTTGTGTAGTGAAGATGAGTAGGGTTGTGTAGTGAAGATGAGTAGGGTTGTGTAGTGAAGATGAGTAGGGGTGTGTAGTGAGATGAGTAGGGTTGTGTAGTGAAGATGAGTAGGGTTGTGTAGTGAAGATGAGTAGGGTTGTGTAGTTGAGGATGAGTAAGGTTGTGTAGTGAAGATGAGTAGGTTGTGTAGTGAAGATGAGTAGGGGTGTGTAGTGAGTGAGTAGGGTTGTGTAGTGAAGATGAGTAGGGTTGTGTAGTGAAGATGAGTAGGGTTGTGTAGTGAAGATGAGTAGGGTAGTGTAGTGAGAATGAGTAAGGTTGTGTAGTGAAGATGAGTAGGGTTTGTGTAGTGAAGATGAGTAGGGTTGTGTAGTGAAGATAAGTAGGGTTGTGTAGTAAGATGAGTAGGGTAGGTGTAGTGAAGATGAGTAAGGTTGTGTAGTGAAGATGAGTAAGGTTGTGTAGTGAAGATGAGTAAGGTTGTGTAGTGAAGATGAGTAGGGTTGTGTAGTGAAGATGAGTAAGGTTGTGTAGTGAAGATGAGTAGGGTGTGTAGTGAGATGAGTAGGGTTGTGTAGTGAAGATGAGTAATGTTGTGTAGTGAAGATGAGTAGGGTTGTGTAGTGAAGATGAGTAGGGTAGTATAGTGAAGATGAGTAAGGTTGTGTAGTGAAGATGAGTAGGGTTGTGTAGTGAAGATGAGTAGGGTTCTGTAGAGATGATGAGAAGGTTGTGTAATGAAAATGAGTAGGGTTGTGTAGTGAAGATGAGTAAGGTTGTGTAGTGAAGATGAGTAAATAACAAAAAAAGGCACAATACCGTGACTGGAACGATACACAAATAACCCGCACATAGAAGAGAGGAGCTTACGACGACATTTCGGTCCGACTTGGGCCATTTACAAAGTCACACTAACCAGAAGTACGAACGAACGAACGAAAGTTCAGGTAAGATCCCAAATGGGATGAGCGGGGAAGACGGAACAGACGAAGAATAGTGCTGGAGAGGAGTGTTCTTAGTTGTAGAAATAGAGCCAGGGCTTAACCCAGCAGCTAAGTCGATCGTGGGACAGACATTGAGAACACACATAGCAGGCTCTATTGTTGGGACTCCGGTGGGTGAGTGGGGAAGTGTGGACAGACGAAGAATAGTCGGTGAGAGGAAGGTCTTGAGTTGTAGATGAAAGAGCCAGGGCTAAACCCAGCTGCATGGCACTGCGAGGCAGTGTAGAGAGGGCATGTTGAGGACATAGAGGAGAGGGCAGACTGCAGACAGTGCTCACTGGCTGATATGCTTCAGGCTGAGGTGAAGAGCTGGTTTGGACGTCAGGTGTCGGGAGGATCACGTTGTGTGTTGCGGAAGTGTGTTGTGTGTTTGGCTACACTTCGCTGGTGATGGAGCCACTCTTGAGTCTTTTGAAGTCTCTCTTGGACATGTGGAATAATTGCATTCTGAGGTTGGAGCAGTTCAGATTCCTCACGAGATAAGATAGTGAGTTTTCAAAAGGAATT